GGAGCTCACTTTGGAGATCAGGCTGGCCTCGAACTCAGAGATCTGCCTGCCTCTGCCTCCCGAGTGCTGGGATTAAAGGCGTGCGCCACCAACACCCGACTGTGTCTTGTCTTAACAAATTACGCCCTCCATAACACCTGTCTCAAAAAGAAACATTCCCTCCCAATGAGCTCTGAGTAGTATGGGAGATAAAGAGAACATCTCACCCTAGGAGATGAGAATGTTCTACCTTATAGGTAAGTGGAGGCCAGGTGAGAGGCAGGGACACACCCAGACTTCAGAGCTCAAGTGTGATAGGTCACATGGACTTGACCCCACAGTCACTTTGTGACTCCTATACCTCCCCCCCCCGTTCCTTGCTGTCTTTGACTCTACTCACCTCTGCACTTTCCCCGACTCTACTCACCTCTGCACTTTCCCCAACAAATGAACTAATTCACACAGGTTTCCAGTATCACTCCCTCCAACCAGAGGAATCACTTATGCCTTCACATAGTCCTGGTCCAGGGGGTGGGAGGGGAAGCCAGATTCCATAGAAACACTCACCGTGAGCTGCAGCCACCTCCTGGAGGGAGAGGGTCATCTGTGTAAAGGCGTCATGCAGGTGGCTCCGCTCATCATAGTCTGAGGGTGGACGAGAAGCAGGCTGAGGAAGCACTGTGGCCCACATCTGGTGCCGGCATACCTTCCATGTCTGACTCCTGGCTGAAAGTGTCCACCCCCCCCCCACCCTCACCCCCACCCTCACCCCCACCCCAGGGTCTAGGTGCCCTCTCTCTCTGGGTTTCCATTCCCAACCCTGAGCCCCAATCTGGATATCTGTCCCTCCTTCTCTCTAGTCTTTCCTTATCTCTCTCTAGGTCTCTGTCACACCACCCTGGATCTGTTTCTCCCTGTCAGTCTCTGCTCCAACCTGTCCTATCTCTGGATCACTGTCTCTCTCTAGGTCCCTGGCCACCTCTCTGTCAGCCCCTTTCTCCCTCACTCTGGGTCTCTGGAGATCTACGTCTCTGATCTCCTCACTCATCTGTGTCCCCATCCATACCCTCCTCTCTCTGAGCAATGCTCCTTCTACTCTTTCTAGTTTTCTATCTCTTTTCTTGTAATTCTGTCAAGGCCCTCGCTGTCCTTAGTCTGAGGCACTGTCTCCACCCCTCTCTGAATATGTTTCCTTCCATTGCTTCCCCCTGTCTCTCTTCCCTGTGTCTCTGCCATGATCCTGTACTTAGCTTTTCTTCTTGGAGTCGCTCAAGGTCTCTCCTGCCCCTCCCCATGGCCCTGGATCAGGGAGGAGGGTCTCCTCACTGATTTCCATGTCTGAGAGACCCTCAAAGGCAGCCGTGAGGGCATCTTTACACTGGCCCAGCTTGGAGCCCTCTGTGCCCACAAACATCCGGCAGACACGGAGGCGTTCCTCATGGGTAGTGAAGCAGAAGAGACAGGCCCACGTGGATGCCCTGAAGATCAGTGGGAACAGGACAGTGCTCCCCACCAGGGCAACAAGGGCCATCTCAGAGGGTCTCTGGGTCTGAGGAGAAGCTAGTAACCTTTGTGAGGTCACTGTGGGGGAGGGGGAGCTGTGGCCTAAGATCAGAGATTGTCTTTCAGCTGGTGGTCAAGTGCCAGGCTCCATCTAGAGGAAGGTTGTCAGGGGTCACTTGCAATCCCTACATTTGTGGCTGAGCCAGGCGCCAGGCTCCCAAGAACCTCACCTGTGACCCTGGACGTCCTCACAGGTTAAAGGGTCTCAGGGACCCAGAGGCCGGCAATTTAGCTATGGTGGACCAGAAAAGCCCTCTTCCCCAGAGGTGGGAGCAGGGAAATGAGAGAGAAACACAGATACGCTGAGTCCCTGAAGACAGAAAATGGGCAAAGACAGAGAAACCTGGAGAGATACCAAGAGGCCCTGAGACCCACAATGTCACAGAGATAGATTCACAGCACTAGAGAAACAGAAGCTTCTAGAACCCCGGAGACAGCGGGGTAAGAGACAGAGACAGAAAACGTGGAAATCTCCTGATGGCAGAGAGACGGCAAAGAAAAGAGCTAGGACACAGGGTGTGGACAGAGAAGACACCCCAGCTCCTCCCAGGAACTCTGGGGCAGTGGTGTGAACTTGGGGTCCCCGCCGGCCCCTTCCCGTGCTGGGCGCAGCCTGGGGAAAGCTAGGAGGCCGTATAGTGATCTCCTCGGGTGTCTTCCTCAACTATACAACCTCCTACCTCAGCCCGGGGGGCGCGGCAGGTGGGCAGATTGACAGATGGAATGATGGGGGACCAAGAGAAGTAAGGAGGGTGGGGAGGGCCGGGGAGGTCCCAGCCGCGATGGTGAGCCCCCGACACGGACCCACAGACACGAGCTTGTGTGCGGCGAAGGCCCCGCAAGGTCGGTTCTACGGGTGGGTGCCAGGACCCAGGAGTCCGGGCCCCCGGCCCCCTCCTCCTCCCCAAGGAACCCAGGAATTCAGTCCCAGCTCTTCTGGCACAATCTAGGCCCCATTCCCCCTCCTCCAAAGCCAGGGATCCAGACTCCAGGCCCCTTCAGATCCAGGTGTACTTCCTACCACAGAGTCAGAGGTCCAGGTCCCAATCCTCCCTCAGATCCAGTGCTCCACACACAAGAGCCCTCAGACTCAGTTCTCTGTCAGATCCAGGGGTCAATCCCCCGCCCCCAGACCCTGGGTACAACCACAGGAATGTCCCTCAAAGGAGGCACCCTGGGAAGAGAGCTGGCTTTTGGAGTGCTGGAGGGAGAGGGCCTCGTTTGTCTTGGTAATCTGCCCTCCCTCCTGAAACCCCTCAAGGTTTCAGACCCCCAGACCTGAGCTTAAGGGCTCCTGGGTACCAGGAGTGCCTCTCAGAACAATCCGTCTCTTCTACCTTTCCCCCACGCTGAACCTTTAGGGTGACAGCTATGACCCAGGAGTAATGACACCAACCAGGGTCCTGTCTCCTAGACTCCTCCAACTCAGGGGTGAGGCTGTTACCTGCACCCCTGAGCCCGGAAACCACTTGGCCAAAGTCAGTCGGCTGCAGGTGGGAGGGGCCCTAGGATAAGCACCCACCCTGAGGCCGAGCTCAGAACTGGTCCTCTGGGGCTCCCAGGTTCCATGTCCATCTTGTTTCTCTCCGCCCGTTTTTCTTCCCTGCCCATTCCCAGTTCTCCCTCTTTCTTTCTCGGTGTGTATCTTCCCTGTCTAGGCTCTCCTCTCCAGCCCTATCTGCACGCCTGGTCCTCACTCGTCTCTGTTCTGGCTGCCCCTCTGCTCTTCCTCACCTCCTGTCTTCCATCTCTACCTCTCGCGTCTCTCCCTCTCCTTCACTGTCTTCCTTCGCCTCCTCCTTTCCTGGCTTTGTCTCTCGTTTTCTCTCTTTATCTGAATTTCTGTCTCCCTCTTCTCTTTTCCTCCCCGCTTTTTTATTCAGTCTAGCCTCCACACTCCTCGCATCTTCCAGTCTCCTCTCCAGGGTCTCTCTCGCTCTCCCTTTCTCTCCCCCTTTCCCCCTTCCCTCCCAGGTCTCCTTCTCTCTCCTCCCTCCCCTCCCCCATCCCCTCTCTTTTTCTCCTTCCCTCTCTCTCTCCCTCCCCCTCGCTGCTCAGAGCCAGGTCTGGAGCTGGGAGTGGAGTGGGGGTGGGTCGAGAAGGGGCCCTGAGCCGGGGTAGCGACCTGCTGAGGAGGGGGGGAGGAGAGGCGGGAAGGGGGCGGAGAAGCAAAGCGGGAGGCGGGGGCCTGAGACGGGTCTGCGGCCCCAGCTCAAGTCTTCCTTTCCCTCCTTGCCAACCTCCCAGACCCTCAGGCGGGGCGAGAGTCAGGCCAAGGTGGGGAGGAAGGGGAAGGGAGGAGGCTCCCCCCCCCCCCAACCAACCTGGCCCAGAGCCCAGGCCTGGGTTCCCAGCATGCCCCGGGGCTGCCTGGGGCCTGAGGAGGGGGGTGAGGAAAGCGGGGAAACGAGAATCTTAAAGATTCTCCAGACCAGAGCATCTCTCCCACACCCAGTAAGTTTCTCCTCAAAGGGGAAACTGAGGCTCGGAGAGAAGGTTCCGGGCTGGTTCAAGGTCACTGCCCCAGGCATGGGTGCATCTCCTTTGGGTTCACAGGCTTGCTTTGGGGAAGGGGTAGGCACTGGACTTTCCCCTGGGCCTGGGTCCCCTCCCCCTCTTTGCAGACCCTAGGGAGCCCCCAAGGGTCAGAGAGCAGACCCAAACAGTCTGGCACCATAGCAACCAACTGGCCCCGCCCCCTTAACCCCTGGAGGGCTGGGCTCCAGTTGGGGCTAAGAAGGGGTGGGGGACTCGTGGTTCCTGGTAAGGAGCCCCCCACCTATTCCCCCAGTCCTGGCAGCTAAGAAGAAAAATGCTTGGGGCTCTGACTCTTAGGTTCTAAAGGAGGAGGGAATGGGAGGGTGGCCTTGCTTCTGGGCAGGAGGTGGTGGCCGGAGAGTGGACTCTCGGGTCAGAGCCAAGAAGCAGCTGGGTGGCCCAGGCTCCTGGGTCCTGGGCACACCTCAGCTAGAGCTTCGGATTGTGGAATTTGGGTAAGCGGCTGGAAGGTGGACTCTGAGGGAGGAGGGGGCCGAGGCCTGGAATCCCGGGTCCCCAGAGGAACCTGGACGCTGGGCCTCTCCACTCCCAGACATCCCCTGCCCCGGGCTCTGACCCGGGCCCGTCTGGCAGCCCAGACAACCTCCCCCTCCTCCTGACACCCTCCCACTCATACGGCTCACCCTTGACCCCGCAAAGCCCCGCAGCCCCATCTCTGCCCCTCCCCCTCCCTTCCAGCCAGACGTTAACCCTTGGGCCGCCGGAGGCACTTCCAAAGCCAGACAGGCTTCCTCCACCTCCCTGCGGTCTCCGGCATCTGGTCCCCAGTCCCTTACACTCTGGGATCCTACATCCTTCCTTTAGAATCTCAGATCCTCCCAGCGTCTGTAACCCAGGGACCCCTGAATCTAGACCTCCAGCCCGCTCCATCAAAGACTGAGGAGTCCCGACACCCAGCTCACCACCCTCCCCACCCCACCCCCCAACCACAACCGCCACCACCACTTCTCCGCCATCCAAGTGAGAACCCAGAAATCCAGGCCCAGGCTGGCTGCCTCCTCCCTTGGGGACCCTGGAGTGCGGCCCAGGTCCCATCCCCCTCCGGTTCCGCAGACTCACCGCTCCGCGGCTCCAGCGTCGCGGGGACCCAGTGTCCTCCTCCAGCCCCAGCCCCAGGTTCTCCATCCTCTCCCTCCTCTGCCGCCCGCGGCCTCTCTCCTTCCTCCCGCCAGCCCCGCCATCCTCCGCCCCCGGTCGCCTGCTGCCTCCGGCCGGTGTCTCCTCCCGGCACTGCGCGCCGGGGCTCCTCCACCCTAGACCCCGCGGGCAGCGTGGCCTCGGACCGGCCCCCTCCCCGGGGGGCCCCTGCCCAGCCCCTCCCCACCGCCCAACCCAGTCCGGCCAGGCTTCCCCCCCACCCCCCTGCCCCGAAGCTGGCCCGAGTCCAGGGGAAAAAATTCCATCCAGCCCTAGGGAGGAGGAGCAGGGCGGAGGAGGGAGCGGGAGGGGAGGCCGGGCTAGGGGAGCATGACGCAGGGAGAAGGGAAGGGACAAAAGAGAGGCCGGGAGGCAGTGGAGGCAGGCTCCCTCCCTCCCTCCCTCCCTCCTCCTTGGCTAGGGCCCGCTCAGTCTCTGCAGCTTTCTACCCTTTCGGTTCCCTCCATCTCACCTCCCTTCCCGGCGCTCGGCCTCCTCCCTCTTTTCCCTCCCCCCATGTCATTCTTTTTTCTGGCCTCCCTTCTTTCTTTCTGACCTCCCTTTCTGCCTTTCCCAGTCTCTGCATCTTCACCTTTTTTTTTTTTTTTTTTTTTTTTTCCGAGACAGGGTTTCTCTGTGTAGCTTTGCGCCTTTCCTGGAGCTCACTTGGTAGCCCAGGCCTCCTGTCAATGTCTGAACTCTCAATGTGATGGCATTAGAAACATTTTTTTTTTAATTTTTTTTTTTTTTTTTTTGCTAGCGACTAGTCTTGCATTTTCTGTTTTTCTCCTTTTCTGGCTGGATGTTTTCTGTCTCCTCTCTTCCTCAGTGCACCTTCCTCAACCAGGGGCTGCATTCCCACCCACCCCTTTCGGCTCTCCCAGTCCACCGCCCCCCTTCTCCTGCGCTGTATTTCTCCCCTCCCCGGCACTGGAACTCAAAAGGTGAATTAGACCCCCATATCTACCCTGGCACACTGAGCTCACGGACTGATGAAGGAATCAGACCCAGCCGCAGAATGTCCCGTTCCAGGGTGAAGGAGTGTGACGGGGGGGGGGGGGGGGGGGGGGGGGGGGGGGGGGGGGGGGGTCGAGACCAGAGACTCAGGAGATGGGGGGAGGGCGGATGGAAACCCACCCTACAGCAGTGAGCAGACGACCCACCAAGAAGGCGTGGTTGCTGGTGCTACCTCAGAGAATCAGAAGTTAGACCTGAATTGTAAGGAAGGTCCAGGCCGAGGGCACAGTTTAGGCAAAAGCCCAATGGCAGCAACCAGGGTGATAGGGGAGGGTAACAAAGCAGTCCCATATGATTAGGGGCCAAGAGCCAGGAGCGCAGCAGATAGGGTGAGTGGGCGGGCAATTCTGAGCGTGTTCAAGGCCAAACTCAGAATGAAGTTGCCTGAGGCTAAGTAGGAGCCTTGGAGCTTTTTGAGCCAGAGGAGGAGATGGGTCAGACCTGATTGTCAGACCTTTCTGGGGCCCGGGTGAGCTGGAAAGAAAGAGATGGTGGACTCAGAAGCAGGCCTCCTCTCGCCTGGGTAGGGACTAGGACCGAGGAGGAAGGAGAGGGGAAGAAAATGTGAGGAGCTAATGGGGACTTCAGGGGTGGTGGGCTGTCAGGGGAGAAGCGGCAAAGAGACGTGAAGCTGGCTGTCCGAACCAGAGAATATGAACGAGAATATTGTGAGCAGCCTATTAGAACCTAAAAACATTAGAGGGGTACATAGGGAATTTTGTATGCACTTTTCTCCCCAGGTAGGATCATTTTTATCTCCACCCGTTTTAGCAGCATAACCCCAAAGGTTCCCTCATACCCATTCATTTTAATGACTGTTTATTTAACATTTTATTGTCATTATTGTATAATTAAAATAATTAATTATCTTCTGTGCTATAAAATGTTAATTATTTTATAATTTATAAATCCAAACAAGAGACCGGGCCTTTTTTTTTTTTTTAAACACATGTGCCTATTCAAATATTCTAGGGTTATTTTTTCCAGTACTGGGGAATGAATACAGAAAATCAGACATGCTGGGCAAGAGCTCTGTTACCGGCAGCCCCTCCTAATAGTTGCTGAGTTTTGTTTTGTTTTTAGACAGGATCTCACTATGGCCTGAAACTCAGTTTGACTAAGATGCGTGTGAGTACATGTGCCTTCAGAGACCAGGAAAGTGCACCAGATACCCAAATCTGGAGTTACAGGCAGCTGTGAATCACCTAGGGTTGGTTCTGGGAACGGAACACCAGTTGGCTTTAAGAGCAATACATGTTAAGCTTTAAGCTGTACCTCCAGCCCCTCTTATTATTTTTTATTTCAAGATAGAGTCTCACTAAGTTGTCTAGGCTGGCCTCAATTTAACAGTTTTCCTGCTTCAGCTTTCTAGAGTTTTCTTTCTCACTGTACCTAAACCATAAATTAAACTTTGCCGTAAATATATATGACAAAAGAATAAATATATTCTATACAAGGTTCAGTACTAATGGTTTCAGGTAAGTATGTTGGAACATATTTCATTTCCCCACCAATAAGAGTGAATACTGCTGGCATTGACAATTACCACACACACTCCTTGTTGAGAGATTTGAATGCTTCCTGGGTTTAGTAGTCTCTACAGAGCAGAGTTTCTCAACATGTAGTCTCGACCCCTTGAGGGTCAAATGACCCTTTCCTAGCAAAATCACCTAAGACCACCACGCATGTCAGATATCTACATTACAATTTGTAACAGTAGCAAAACTATAGTTTGAAGTAGAAATGAAAATAATATTATGGTTCAGGGTCACTACATCATAAAGAACTTTATTAAAGGGTCATAGCATTAGGGAGGTTGAGAACCACTGCTATAAAGTATATCATTTAACACACATTGTCAGTCATGGGTATTAGTCTCCATGTACAGATGAGGGACCCATATTCTGCCATGGTAGGGTTGGAAATCAGGGCCTCACGTATTGGAGGAAAGCACTCTATCAGTGAGCTAAAATCCCATCTAGTACTTGAGGTTCTTAATAGGGAAAAGCACAGACTCATCAAATAAGCCAGAGACTTGAGCCCAGGCCCCTTTGTCACTAACTGCTATGTTCCTCCTTTGGAGGTGTGATGTGTCTGTAAAAACATGTGAGTACTGGGGGCCGACACTGGCACATTTTTACTTCTGCACACAGAATTAGGTGTGATTTAAAAGCACACTTTTTATCAGTCCCTATACATAGAGTAGGTGTCTGGGACTGCTATCACACAGCCACAGTCCTGATGACCAATCTCTTGTCCTGGCTTGGATTCAGCTGTGTTCTGTTGTGACTGGGTCTGACTGTGAGCACTGTTTGAGGTAACAGCCTATATCTGAGTCACCTCTTGGTCCTCAGTGTCACCCAACACAGGCATGGCTCGGAGTAGGGACCAGGAAGATGTTTGTTAAGTGAGTAAATGGAGGGATGGGTGGATGTCAAAGGGGTTAGAGATTAGTCTGGCACTTGTTTTACCCTGTGGGTTAAGGGAACATAATTCCTGAGACATGAGCCCTTTATTACCATCAGAAGTCATGGGGGCAACTGCTCCTGTCCTCTGCTTCAGAAAATTCCAATTCACACAGAACCTAAGAGTCATACCTGAAATTCCTACAAATCCCTGAAACTTAGGACCCATCTTGGAGACAGGAGTGTCCATTTCAACTCCTGGTGTTCAAGATCTGCCACTCCCATCACCCATCCCCTGGGCCAAGTTGCTTGGCACAAAGCATACCCATGCACACACCCATACATATACACATAATTAAAAGATTTTTTAGAGTACTTAAAATTTCAAATGAGTTTATTAATTAAGGGCTAGGAAGAAGATTCAATGGGTAAAAAGCATTTGCCATGCAAGCTTGATGACTCACTCAAGTCTTCAGAACCCATATAAAAAAGCCAAATGTGATGTCTCACAACTATAACTCAGCAATCTTTTTTGTTTGTTTGTTTGTTTGTTTGTTTTCAAGACAGGGTTTTTGTGTGTAGCTTTGCGCCTTTTCCTGGAACTCACTCTGTAGCCCAGGCTGGCCTCCAACTCACAAACATCCACCTGCCTCTGCCTCCCGAGTGCTGGGATTAAAGGCGTGCGCCACCACTGCTCGGCCAACAACCCAGCAATCTTAAAAGCCAGATACAAAACAAAGGAGAAACTTCCTGAAGCTTGTGGACACATGAGTGTCCCTCACAATGATATTAAATGAATAACATTTAAAATAATATTTTTTAATCAGCTCAGCACTTGTTCCAGGTTTATCCTCTCTGTTTACATTGGCCTCACCTAAGTCTTTTGAAACAGGTCCTGCTGCTCCCATCACCTTACTCCACACGTCGATAGGTTATTTCCTAACTAGCATAGGATGAAAGGCCAGGTTTCGCTGTGATATTTTTGTCTAAGTTTGTCATATTTTGCTCATATTCACCTCCTTGTTTCCCTCTTTAGCTGCCTTTGCACCCTGCTTCTTCCTCATGGTTCCCTTCTTGATTG